AGTCAGATATCGCTACAAAGGAAGCAGTGTATACGGCTATGGGTTTGGCTGCACCTAACGTCATGAACGCGTTCGATTTCGATAGTCTCCTGGTCTCGACTGTTCTTCAAGATGCGCAGCAACAAGGGCCCTTGTATAAGGTTCTCCGCAGACGCATCGCAATCATGGTCAGCCAATGGGTTACGGTCAAGATTGCCGACAACAGTAGACCACTCATCTACGAAATGTTCCGTCACTTTCTCAACCCCGCGGACCCGAACAACGACATTGTCGTCAGAATCACAGCCGCGCGTCAGCTGCGGTGGATCGTAGACGAGCTTGCCTTCAGCGCAGAGGCTTTCCTCCCCTACGCAGCCGATGTGCTTAATGAGCTACTTCAGCTCATTCAAAATGTTGACGTGGACGAGACCAAGCTCGCCGTGCTGGAGTCCATGCGTATCTTGGTCACGAGACTAGAGAATTACGTCTCTCAGTTCGCAGACTTTATCATGTCAAGCCTACCGAGCATTTGGGAAAACTCTGGAACGGAGGAGTACATGATTAAACAGGCCATCATCGCCATCTTTGCCGCGCTGGTTATGTCCATGGGCAGCGACTCTCAGAGGTATCATCACCTGATGGTCCCGTTGCTCTCAGAAGCAGCCAAACCGGGCTCCGACCTGCACACGTACCTGATCGACGAGGCATTGGAGCTATGGAACTCTGTTCTCATGCAGAGCAACCCGCCCTTATCCGCAGATATTATGAGCATCGCGGAATTATCACTTCCCCTGCTGGAGTATCAAACAGAGACCGCTGCGCAGGCGTTGTCCGTGGTTGAGTCCTACATTCTCCTTGGCACACAAGCTGTCATGGAAGATAGACTGCGGCGTCCATTCTTGGTCGCTCTGTCAGGCGTTCTCGACTCTAGAAGCCGAGAGCAGGTCAGACTCGGCACCGTGTGCATTGAATATCTGATTCGGGCCGCCTCTGAGCTCGGCGGAACCCAAGTGATTATGCAGGATCTTCTCGAACTTGGTTTCTTGAAGAAGATTATGGAGGCTCTCCACGATGCTTGGGAGGCACACCAGACGACCGGACCGAACAGGAAGGTTAGCAAGCTCAACACGATAACAGAACGCGACTACTTTGCAATTCTCTCACGACTCCTTATCGCCGACCCGACACTCTTCGTCACCATGCTCACATCTTTCGGGCCTCTAGAACAGGTTTGGGCCTGGCTCAGCGGCGAGTGGTTCTCTCACCTCGACGGGCTGGATCATCTTCCTAGGCAGAAGCTGTCCCTCCTGGCCCTGGCGCGCCTTATGGAGCTCCCGCAGCCCATGCAGAACCTCACACTGAGCAAGTTGCAAGACTATTTCACGCTGTGGGTTGGCACCATTGCCGAGCTCCAGGACGGTACGACGGACGGCACTGACTCGCTCATCTGGGGCGAACTCGAGCCCACGGATTACGATACACCCAAGAGCATCAAGGAGACGGAGTTTGGCGCCAAGGATCCCGTCCACACGATCAACGCCATGAGATTCGTCAAGGAGAGGCTGCAGGATATCGTCCAGCGCTCCGGTGGAGAACAGCAGTTTGAGCAGGAGTGGGCTGCCAATGTGGACAAGGACGTTTTGCAGAAGTTTTGGTCGTTGACGCAGATCACGGGCGCTTAGGGAGCCAGTGCAGCAGCAGCAGCAGCAGCGTTTGCGTGAGCTGTTCGTCGGGATTGAGCTGTAATAGACGGGAAAACATGGGAATGATTATGATTTCATGACGAGGCTGTCAGATAGAGAAAGAGAGGTGCTCATGGCGTATCTCCTGGCAATGGCAAATGTGAATACAAGAACGATTTGACGCCTAATGGCGGAAGCACCCGTCCAAAGAGAACTAATGTTTATTGAAGACTTACATTGGTGGCATAAGTGACTGATTCAAAAGTCGATCTAGATATGCCTCGCTCTAATCGCCAAGAAAACGACACTCTCGCAGTAACATGGTTCTACAACTTGCTCTGACCGTCCTGCGGGATCTTGACAACGACCTTACCCCAGGTCCCGCGGCTGCCCAGAGCAATAAGCGCGTCCGGGATGCGCTCGAGCCCGACAAACTCCTCGTCGGTGAACTCGGTGCCGCGTAGCTTCCCCTCGGCGACGAGCTTCATGATGCCCTTCCACACCTCGACGACGGTCTCCTTCTCCTTGACGGCGTACTGGCCCCAAAAGATGCCGACGAGGCTGATGTTCTTGAGGAGCACCTTGTTCATGGCCACCTTTTCAATCTTGCCGGCCGCGAAGCCAATGATGAGGATGCGGCCGTTCCAGGCCGTGCATTTGGTGCTGGCGTCGACCATGCCGACGGGGTCGTAGACGATGTCGACGCCGCGCCCGCCGGGCGTGAGGGCTTTCACTTTGGCGGGCCAGTCGGCCTCGCGGTAGTCGACGACGTGGTCCGCGCCAAAGGCTTTGGCGACGTCGAGCTTGCGCGGCGTCGAGGCCGTGGCGATGACGGTGGCGCCGAAGGCCTTTGCGACTTGCACGGCGGCGAGGCCGACGCCGCCGGCCGCGGCGTGGACGAGGACGATGTCGCCGGGCTTCACGCCGGCGCGAACGACGAGGGCGCCGTAGGAGGTGGGTGCGGTGATGAAGAGGCCGGCGGCCTCGGTGTAGGACCAGCCGTCTGGGATGGGGAGGAGCTCCTTTTCGCGGGCGACGCACTGGGAGGCGAAGGCGCCTTGGGTTGCGCCGAAGACGCGGGCGCCGACGGGGTATTTTGCGTTTGACGAGGGGGCTTTGAGGACGATGCCTGCGAATTCGCAGCCCGATGTCCAGGGGAAGGCTAGAGTATTTCGGTTTAGTATGGTATACTGAAACGTATGTGTGCTAAGTCTCTGAAGGACAGGAAGGGGAGGACCGTACGAGGTTGAGTCTGGTATTTCCCTTGGATTTGGAGAATGTCAAAAAAGTTGGCGGCCGTGGCGTGGACTTGGATGAGGTACTCGTCATCCTTCTTGGGGACGGGGTCTGGGAGATCCGTCACGCGGAGCTCCTTGGGAGACTTTTGAATCGTTAGATCGAGTGCTCGTTTAGGGAGAATCGTTCCTCAATGGTGATGAAGCTCACCTTGACATATTCCTTAATCTGAATGCCGCGCATTGTGAAGATGGATTCTACTGTGATGTCTGGTACTCTTCGTAGGTAAGGTACTTGATTTGAGATAGATTGAAGGCCAGATGTGAGGTAAAGCTGGCCAAAGTTATATGTAGGAAACTACCGTAAGAGCCGGATGAGATGGAAGATGAATATTGTGAGTTTGTATGAACCTAAGATTGAGGATATGAGCTGTCGTTAGTCTCGAGCTTCTCTACACGTTGTTACCCCGGACCGGGGGTCTTGGAGACGCCGAGGAGGGGGGGAGCCGAGGCAACGTCTGTGGCCCCTCGTTGGCTAGATTTGGGGCCTTTTCGGTGTGCGAATTCCGGGGATGTGGAGGAGGCTCGGTGAGCAGCAGAGAGAGACATGGCCCAAGCGCCTGCCTTAGGGTACAAGATCTAGATGCAGATTGGAGGTTCTTTGGCAGGTAGGTAATCAGAGGGATCCAGCCCACCGGCATCAGCTGTTGTCGTCATTTTGGCTACAAATGTGGCGTGTGGATGGCCCTAGTAGATGAATTGGTTGCAATAGGTAGTTGCTTATGCTCTGTGCATCTGATTGAGGTCGTATTTGTATCTGCGCTATCAATACTCCGTACCTATGGACTACCTGAATTGTCATCGACGACTTCACACATGTTGTGAATGTTTGATTGAATGATGCTGCTCCGTTACTCGAGGGTAGGCACACTTCCAAAATTGGCCACAAACTTTCCCTTCAAGAGATTAGGTATTGCAGCTCCAAGCCCTTGTGGATGGACGCCGGATTGCTCGCGCGCTATTTGTTGCCGAGTTGTATCGCCATCGTGAATTAGAGGTAGAAGTCGATGGATGACAATGGAAGAGATGACTGTGGACATGACCTGAGGCTACTTTTAAGTTGGGGTCGTCCAGGGGGGGCGGTCGTTTGGCGCATGGGAATTGAGGGACGTGGAATTCGATACCTACACCTAATCCTGACAATGCGGCTTGGTCGATCATCGCGGGCGAGCATTGATTTCTTCCCCAATAGAATCATTTCTCTGCCCTTGATGTCAGAGATAATAGAGTGCCCATGTAGTTCCTGCGGATTCTCTTGCATCAAATGGGAGGGAGTGCGCCGCCAGCAGAGACGTCGATTTTGACAGCGCTGTCAAAAGTGACCTTAGCTGAGAACCCCCCTGTTCTTACCTATACCTTACCTTCCGCTCCCACCAGCGTTAGCGCGCTGCGGCAAAAGGTGCCTAATTCGACCTGTTCCGTTCGTGAGGCACCTGCTATTGATGTTACCTACCTACCTACCTACGGACTACCATCCTTGAGTCCAGGCTGCCAGGACCACGAGTCACCACCCAAAGTACCCGACGCCGCACAGCGACAGCACCCTCAGTGGGCACGACCCAGCGCTAACCGTAGTTATCTCACTCTCCCGCTCCATTGCGTAAGGTATTGGATCCGTTCCGCCGCACCTCGTAGAACTGGCCCATGCTTGCTTCTGGGCACTTCATTGCCTCCAGTGCTGCTGCTCGCTGCTGGCTGCTGCCCCTCCCCGACGCCATCATTGGAGCCCACCAACCGTCACCAACGACACAAACACCCAATCCTGCGCAACTCCCCTCCGGCCACCTACCATATTTCACCTGCCTAACTGACTTGCACCTTGCCCCGGCTTGACCTCGCATTCGGTCGTCTTGTCCACATACTCCCAACAACTTCTCTCTTTCCCTCCAACATCTCACGCCTTTGCCTCTCTTCCACCCCTCCGAGCCATTCTCAGGCCTTCCAGAGACCAAGTCGTCGTCATATACTAGGTACACATTCAGACATTGCCTGACCACCAAGCACCTCCACCGATCGCGCCCACGCACCCGCAACACACAAGGTCATGGCCGACAACGCAGAGGGCACCGCCGATGCCCAGGTCACCTTCAAGGTGAAGACGGGCCAGGATAGCAACCATACTATCACCATGTCTGAATCTGCCTCCGTACTCGACCTCAAGACCAAATTGGCCGGCGAAGATTTCGAGAACGTTCCCGTCGAGCGCCAGCGTCTTATCTACTCTGGTCGCGTAATGAAGAACGACGACACACTCGCCACCTACAAGATCAAGCCCAACAACACCATCCACATGGTCAAGAGCGCAGCCAGCAACCCAGCTCCTCAGCCCGCAACTTCAGCCTCCACGCCTGCCGCACCCGCCGTGCCCTCCAACATGGCCGCTGGCACTGCCAACAACATTCTCGCTGGCCTCACCGGAGCCAGATACGCCGGACACATCAACCTGCCCAGTCGCGAGACGTTTGGAGCTGACGGAGGAGTAAGTCTCTTTCAGTGCCGCGGCGAGTCTTGCGTGGCATAAACTAATCTTACGTTTCCAGATGGGTGCCCCGCCATCCGACGACCAGTTGGCCCAGATGCTCTCCGATCCCTCCATGCTCCAGACCATGAACGCCGCCCTCGACAACCCCGACTTCATCAACTACATGATCCAGAGCAACCCACACCTGCGCAATGTCCCCAACGCACGAGAGATCATCCAGTCGCCATTCATGCGCCAGATGATGACCAACCCAGACATGCTTCGCAATGTCATGAGAATGCAGCGCAACATGGCCGGCGGAGGCGGCAACGCTGCCTTCCCTGCGCCTGGCGCCACCGACACTACTCCTGCCGAAGCTGCGGCTGCCGGCGGCAACACGGGTCAGCCCCCCAACCCGTTCGGCTTCCCCGCAGGTTTCCCAGGCTTTGGTGGCGGCGCTGGTGGAATGGGCATGGAGGGACTCGGTGATCTCAGTGCGCTCTTTGGCCCTGGTAGTCCGTTTGCGCCTCAGCAACCCGGTGCTCAAGGTGCAGCTCCCGGTGCGGGAGCGGCGACTGGCGATAGTGCCCAGACTACAGCTGGTGCCGGAGCTACTGGGACGACAGGCACGGCAGCGGGTGGACAGGGCGCAAACTCTACAACGAGTCCACCTCCGGCCAACCCCTTTGCTGCTCTGTTCGCCCCTCCTCCTTACGCAGCTCAGGGTCAAGGCCAAGGCCAGGCACCCGCAAACCCCTTTGGCGCCTCGCCCTTTGGTCAGATCAACCCAGAGATGATGCAGCAGATGATGAGCATGTGGGGTCTCGGTGCAGGCGGCGGTGCTGGTGGAGGCTCTCCGGCTCCCCCAGACAACCGTCCCCCCGAGGAGCGTTATGCCGAGCAACTGCGCCAGCTCAACGATATGGGCTTTTTCGACTTTGATAGGAACGTAGCCGCTCTGCGTCGTAGCGGTGGCAGCGTGCAAGGCGCGATTGAGCATCTTCTGAGTGGTTGATTATGACTTGAAATACATGACCGGGGGGTAGAGAGAGAAAGAGAGAGAGAGAGAGAGCAGAGTAGTAGCAGGAAGCGTCTCACGAGGACGCATGACTTAATGCCCTGTGAACAGGATACGGAGGGAAGTACATACCATACCTAGTTGTCACGCGCTTTGGTTCTGGCAGTTTCCGAGGCGAGATGGAAATTATCCAGGCATGATGTTTATGAAAGTTCACAACCCAATATCTTGGGTCCTCTCGTGACTAAGGAGACCACGTGAAGCCTTGTTATTGACGGAAGTAGAAATACGGAGAGCGTTTGTTATTAATCCCGATCAAGCAAACGTCTTGTATCGCGCTTGATTTAAACGTGGTGGTTTGATTGAATGGTCGTTCCCAAGCTCCGGCGCGATCCGGCTTAGATCGGCCCCGGGTGATTGAGGTGTGCCGGCCCAGAAATCGGCGCCGTAGCGTCTGCAGGCTAAGGAACTCAACTCACCACCAACCACAAACCATGGTTCATGGCGGCTTGAGTCTATCAGCCTTCCTCCACAACAACGTGTTCGGATAAGATGTAGCGAAAATGATTCAAGGAATCTTCTATGCTAGGTTCTTTCCCAAGGAGGGTATGTATTATTTTTTTCTTTTTTTCCTTTTGAAAGAGGCTGCAATGCGCTCGCTCTCTTAAACTTCGCAGAAGGTCATTACTCAACGACGCACCTCAAACTAACCTCCACGATGTAGGCCCGCACATCGTGGCCCAGTCGCCGCCGGGCTGCATCACCACGCCGCCCCCCGGCTCTGGGGCGACGGCCGCGATGAAGCCGCCGCTCATCGACTGGGAGGTGATGCAGGAGTACATTGTGCCGCGCAAGGCCTTTTTCAACCGGTACATGACGGTGCAGGACCCCGAGGGCAAGTACGCGGTGCTGGGGTTCCCCGTGCTGATCCCGCACCAAAAGTACCAGCGCAACGAGTTCATCTTCAACTTTGGGCTGGTGCTGGACGCCGACGCGGATTTGGCGCAGTATGAGCCCGTTGTGCGGCGGTTGGCGGTCACGTTTAAGGAGATGGAGAAGCAGAATGAGTATTTGAGCCAGGAGGGTAGCGGTGGAGGGTCAGGAGCGGCTGGGATGAGGGAGAGGAGGCCGATTGAGAGTTTGTTGGAGATTGTCAAGGAGGATTTGAACAACTATGGCGAGTGCATGATTCCTGTTGGTAAGTTACACACTCTCCCCTTTCTTGCTCTCCGGTTCCGCGCATCGCCAATATCTCGAGATATCGCTGACCACAGAGGGCCCCAAAAGACGACGCAAACACCATCAACATGAAGCTCTTCCCGCACCACGCCAGCCCGCCCCAGGTCCGCGGCTGGCACGTCCCCGTCGCCAAGATGAAATTCGCCGAGATCGTCGACCAGACCTGGGACCTGACGATGCAGAAAGTCGTCGCGCACATTGACGGTGTGAACGACGTCCGCCGCATCGCCTGGCTCGCCGACGTCTCGCTCGACCTCGCCACGCTGGCCCTCCGCCACCTGCTGTATTACGACACCGTCCTGCTGCTCGACATGTTCTTCTTTGGCAGCTGCTACGCGCCCCGCCCCGGGATACACGACTTCGTCGCGGACCGGGACGGGATCGTGGACGAGTGCGCGGCGTACGTGTGCATCCACGCCCGGCAGCGCGTCAGCAACTTTATGCTCATCAAGCTCATGACGAGCTTCTGTGTGGGCAAGAGCGTGATGGAGTGGCTGCGCACGCACCAGGAGGCCGGGTTCGACGTGCTGAGGTACGTGGACGTCAGGCGGCTGGTGCAGTTTGGCGTCATCAAGGGGTGCTTGTACCGCGTGCACAAGTACGTCGTGTCCAAGCAGTACCTCGCGGGACTAGCGACGGGCCAGGCGCGGCCCAGGGCTGGTGGCGGGGGAGGAGGCGACGCGCTGCAGGTGTATACGGACGGGTGTCACTCGTTTGACCAGATTATTACGGAGAAGAATCTCACGGATGGGGAGATTATGGAGAAGCTCAAGGCCTTGCCGGTGCCGAGCGGGGATCTGACTGTGTTTTATCGTTGAGGGTGTCTTTATAAAATGTTGTCATGAGCATGGTGGTTTTACATTGTTCTAAGTTTTTGGTAGTGTACAGGTCATTGTACAGATATTTGCACATGGTATCGGATGTGATACATCAAAATATTTCGAAAGACGAGAAGGACTGCGGCAGTCTCTCGTTTACTCCCGCGACTTGCCCTCCTCGAACGCTTGCTGGCGCTCGCTCTTCTTGGGGAACTTGATATCCGGGTTATTCGCAACGGTAACCTCCTCCTCCTCGGCGGCCAGCTTCTCCTCGACCATCTGCTCCAGCTCGCGGCGCGACAGCTTGCGGCCCTCGGCCGCGGCGAGCTCCTTGAGCTGCTGCATCAGCACGCGCGTCTTGCCCTTGAAGGGCTCGCCCGGGTAGGCCTTGCCGCTGTCCTGCCACTCCTTGTCACTGACGACCTCGATGATGCGGACGTTGTGCTTGCCCTTGCGGATGATGAGCACGCGGCCGTCAATAAGGAACTTGGGCACGTCCTGCGGGTACCAGAGCTTGACGGGCGTCCAGTCGAGGTTTCCGGGCACGAGGCCGCGCATGTCCTTGCCGGGCGCGGCGGCGACGTAGGCGCCCTGGGCGCGGGCGATGCGGTGGCCCTCGCTGACGGAGGTGGCGAGACCTGCGGCGTAGAGGATGCGGGCGATGCCTTGGTTGTAGATGAGGTTTTCGGGGAGCTGCATGTCCATCTTGGGCGCGTTGTTGAGGGTCGTCGGGTGGCCTTCCACGGCCTTGTAGGGGGCCACGGTGTTGTCCTGTCCCGCTTTCTCGGGCGAGGCGCCGGCGAATTGGGTGCCGGATCCCTTGCTGTACATGAACTGATGCTGCTGCTGCTCCCTGATGGCAACGTCGGCGCCGTGGACGAGAGAGAGCACCTCGAAGGCGAGGGTGTGCTGCGCGACGCGCGCGGGCGGGTTCTTTGCGTGGTCGACCATGAGCTTCTCAATGTTGGCGGTGGGCAGGAAGGTGAAGAGCTTGAGGAGCCGCTCAACCTCGGTGTCGGACCGCCGGGCGAAATAGCCGTAGAGGTCAAAGGCGCTCGTCATAAAGGGGTCGAGCCAAACGGCGTTGCCAGCGCTCTTGCCAAACTTTGCGCCCGCGCTGTCCGTCAGGAGGGGCACCGTGAAGCCGATTGGGTCGTCTCTCCAGGTCTCGGGCATGCGCATGTTGGGGTTCTCCTCAGACGCGCGGATCGTCTTGACGGCCTCGATGCCCGTCACGATGTTTCCGAACTGATCTGAGCCTCCGATTTGCATCTGGACGCCGAGCTTGGAGTACAGGTGCCAAAAGTCCCATCCTTGCATTAAGGGGTAGGTGAATTCTGCGAGGGACATGCCGTCGCCCTTTTCCATCTTGTTCTTGACTCTAGACAGGGGGTCAGCAACTCTGTCGAAAAGGGGTAGGGGGACTTCTCCTATATGAGGACTCACGTATCGCGGCCGAGCATGGGCCCTATCCGCATGAAGCGGCCCAGTCTCTTCATGACATCGTACAATGGCAAGCTTTGCCACCACATGTTGTTGTTCACGAGATGCCTCTTGGCCGCCCAGTCCGCCTCGTGGCCGTACTTTCGCCCCAGGGCTTCCACGTTTGCCCAAATCTTCTTCAGCTGGTAGTGGATCTTTGTGATGTTCATTGAGACCTCGCTATTCGCCATGACCTCGCGCGTCTTCAGTCGGTCCGTCGGGTCACCTATCCTGCCCGTCGCGCCTCCGACCAGCGACACGGCCGTGTACCCGTTGAGGTACATCCAGAAAAGGGGCATAAAGGGGAGAAGGTGGCCGACGTGAAGGGACGCCGCCGTGGGATCGACGCCGACGTATGCGCCTATTCGTTTGGTCCGCAAGAGTTCTTTGACCTGCGGTGTGCGCCTTGAGTTCGGTCAGGTCAGCAAACATTATCTCGAGTAGCGACAGCGAAGGGGGGGCGCCTCGACTCACCCTGCGACGTCCTTGACGTAACCTCGCTCCTCAAATACATCCCAGATGTTCTGAATTTCACCCTGCTCAATTGCTGTGGCGCGTCTTGCCCACTCCTCCTCCCCTGTCTTGCGCTTCTCCACGACCTTTTGTGATACCCATCTCGCTTGGTTTTGTCTGAAATGGGCTACTGGGAGCGCAGCGCATCGAACGCAAATATTCCGCCGTAATTCGGGGAGGCGGGCCACCAATGTCGACGACATGATGGGGTATGTGTGTTGGTAATTAGAAGATCTGTAATTTTGAATGCATTGAAGAAAGAGCGGCAAAGAAAAGCTCAGCACTGGATAGGAGTCTGAGGATGTGAAAACCAACCCTGCCAGCAACCAGAATGACTGACACAGGTCACTCAGAGCTGTCGCGCAACTGATCCCACTCCAAGCTCCAAAAATTTCCCTTATCGCAATGTCGATAAGACTTGTCACGCATGTACGTTGGCCCGATGGCCGGCCCATACCGACTTTCTTCGTCGACCGAAATCACGTGGAGACATCGGGGTGCTATTAGCCAATCACAGTCCTTCCAATGTCAGACGCCCGTCTTCGCGATCCGGAACCTGTGCCTACCCTCGGCTAAGTGGACATCATCGATTCCGGCACTCTAAACCTAGCTCTCCTTCTCAACTTCCAAGCCTCCAAACAACGACATCCCGCCTCCCTCCACCCGCGAATACCAATTGAACCGCCCGTGAAATACCAGCGATCACCATGGCTTCGATTGTGCGCCCTGCTCTTCTCCGGCAAACAGCCACGGCGGCCCGCATGGCCCAGGCCACCCCGATCCGTTCCGCCTTCGTCAAGAACTCGTCAAGAGTCGCCGCCTTCCACACAACCGCCAAGAGGGATCTGTTGCCCGTCGGTCCTCGTACGTCGCAGTCACCTTGCATGCTATACATTTATAATCGAATCATTGCTAACCTATTCACTGCAGAGGTCATTCAGGGTGGAGGTACGAAAACCCATGTGAAAGTCAAAACTTGGAAAAAACGCAAGACATCCTAACCCGTGATAACCTCTAGTGAACGACCCTGCCCCCGTCCCTCCCCCGAGTCCCGCCCATGGCTCCTACCATTGGAGCTTCGACCGCATTCTCGCTGCCGGCCTTGTCCCCATCACCATCGCCCCCTTCGCCGCCGGCTCCCTGAACCCGACAACCGACGCCGTCCTCTGCGCCATGATCCTCATCCACTCCCACACCGGCTTCCAGAACATCATCATCGATTACGTCCCCACCAAGCACTACCCCAAGTCGCGCAAGGCGACGATGTGGGGTCTCAATGTCGTCACCGCACTGGTTGGCCTCGGCCTGTACGAGTTCGAGACCAGCGACGTCGGTGTTACTGAGGCTGTCGCGCGTCTGTGGAAGGCTTAACTCGGGGGAGAGATGGGAGAGAGGTGTCGTTTTGTCCTATTTGACAGCAAATAAAAGGCTGGTCACCTGGGAATAATATCCGATTGAGGATGCGACAGAGGAGGCGGAGACGTCGTGCTAGGATACCAGTACCAGAGAAATGGCGCTGAAGTCGGCTTACTGTATGTGATTCAGGGGGCGCCAGGGTTTAGAATTGGGACGGCCAGTGTATAATCACCAGTCTAGGCAAAATTGGATTCTTTGTCAAGGAACCTGGTGCGACATTTCTGCAAGTGAAATTCAATGTGAGTCGGCTTTAGGATGACAGCTTAAATGTTTATCCGAGATGGATGAGGTGTTCGATGTTAGGCAGATCTAATCACCGCAATGCGGTGTGTAAGGTCGGAAGCAATCAACGGAGGAGAAAATCGACTGAACAAGTAACCGCAATGACAACTTGCTAGAGATCTTGGTCTCTAGTGCAGATTTTGCGTGTGTCAGCGAAGCCTTCGAGAGTCTAATCCCGTATTGAGGTGCAGCTTTCACATTTCTTCGCAAAAAGTCTCTGAGAAGCAAATTTAATGCTGAAATCACCAACCTCGGACCAAAAACGCGCTCGGTCAACATTGAAACGTTCCAATAAGTATCATTGTTAAGAAAATGACTGTACGCTAATTCATGTTCGGGTCACATATCTCGAACTAGTACTTTCCAACCACCAACCTACTCATCAATCATCACTTTTATCTCGCTCGCACTTCTTTCCCAAGACGCACTTCTTCTACACTTAGAGGGAGAAACTGGTGATCTCAGAACCTCCCATATGGTCCATCTCAGGGGTCGGAGGTGGAAGGTTCTCAACCTTGGTGTTGATCCAGCACGACGCATACATGTTGACACGGTCAATGCAGGCTCCGTCCGTACGAGCTCCGACCCTCTTGGGCGAGAAGCCGTGGGCCTCAAAAACCTTGACGTACCAAGGGCTCAGCGCCGACGAGCGAAGCAGCACCCGCCCGCCCATCTTGAGGGCACGGTTGAGCTTGGTGATCTGCGCCGCCGCGGCCGGCGCGCCGGGGTCGAACCAGTCCATGCTGTCCATGATGACGGCGACGGTCAGCGTTCCGGGGGTGATGCGATTGATAACCTCGTCAATCTCGTCCGTGTGGATGCGCAGGCCGTCAAAGGCGTTGGCGCGCGAGAGCTTGGCGTGGGCCTTTTCCGAGAGGTAGTCTGGATGGCACCGCCGCGTGAAGTCGCCCGTCATGCAGACGTGATAGTACGGGTTATTGGCGGCGATGTGCGTCTGCTCGGCCACGGGGTCCAGGGTGTCGACCATGTAGCGCCAGATGGCGTGGGAGCGGACCTTGCGGGCGGTCGGGGAGGGTCCCCTGACGGCCTCGCTCTCGGCGTGGTCGTTCTCGATCATGGCCAGCTGGTTCTTGGGGACGCCGAGGGCCGCCCAAAGGAAGCTCTCCTGGCTGACGACGAGCTTGCAGACGAGCTTGGACAGCAGGGCGGGGCGGATCTTGGTGCGCCAGACCTCGCGCTGCTCGTTGAGGGTCTTTGTGGACAGGAGTTCCTTGACGGCGGTGCGGCAGCCAAAGACACGTGAGATCCAGCGGAAGACGCGAATGGCATGGCGGGAGCCGCCAGTGTCGTAGAGACCGTAGCCCTTGGTGTTGGTGAAGACGTGGACATTGTAGAGCCAGTACTGGAATGCACGGCTGGAGAGGTGGGGGGAGAGCTTGTTCAGGAGCAGAGAGCGGAAGTCAGGGTGCTTTCCCTCTCCAAACAGCTTCCAGAAATCCTCGTAGGGGAGAGAAGTGTAAGACGCAACCTTGAGCTCGAGGAGATGGTTCTGGGTAGGGTTCAAGTCGACAGCGTGGATTCTGGCAGGGCTCTGCATTGCGTAGGAGAGGATGTTGTCGCCAGCGCTGGTGATTGCCAGGACCACGTCGTCAGAGCCGAGCTTCAGAAGGTGCTCGTCCACTCTCGAGTCTTCCCATGTAAACGCGTAGATGTACTCATCGTTGAACTGAGTGTGTTTCTGAAGCTGATCATCGTAGTATATGCGCCAGTGGTGGTTCTGGTAGAAGAAAGAGGGCAGTGGGAGGCTTGCGGACAAGTTTTGGATGGCTGCCATGAAAGCCTTGGAACGGATCTCGGGGGCCGATCGATCAATGGCGCGGGTGAGAGCATCGCCCGCGTTAGCAGGCAACAGGTACGGCGATTCTGTAGCAAGGGCATCGATCTTCTCAATGATCTCATGCGGCAGACTGGTAGCTGAGAAGGGCTTCTTGTGGCATCCGACCCAGATGTAGTAGGGAATGTGACCGAGGCCGTAGTTACGGGTGTTGATGTTCAGGACACTGCCAAACTTATACTCGAGATAGTCGCGGCGGCTAGCCTCGAGACCAACACGGTCGAGGTCGAACCAGGCGCGCCAAAAGGTCCTCAAGAACCAGTTGACGTGACGCCCAACCAGTCCACCAGTGAAGTTGCGGAAGGAGAAGTCGGTCTTAGACTGCACGTAGAAGTCAACAACTCCCATGATGCCATCTGGAGATAGAAGTGATGTAAGGGACTCGACAACGGAGTAGTAGTCGGGCTGTTGAACACATTCAGTTACAGTCATTTCAGAGAGTACGTCTTTAGGTGACTCACGATCATGGACAAGCTGTAAGACATGGTGATGAGATCCGCGCCGCCGTGCTCGGCACGCTTCTGAGAGAAGTAGCTCAGTACAGGTGAGCGAGGAGGAACGCGATTACTTGGGAGACCATTTTCATAATCTTCCAGTCGGAACTTCCTCGCGTCCTCACAAACAACCTTAACATTGTTCCAGCCAAGGCGTTCGAAGCGCTGTCGGGCGACCTCGCATAGAGACGGGGAGAAGTCCACGAGGTAGACGCTTGTGAAGAACTCAGGCACATTGACAAAGCTAGACATAGCTTCAATGTTCCATCCCGTTCCTCCACCAACCTAAGCATTGTCAGTCGAGGTTCGACAAACATAATGTGACTGCTAGGATGACTTACATCAACCCAGACTCGCCTGGCCTTGTTGCCCTTTTTGGGACCTTTGGCCTTCAGCTGTGCTGCGACGAGCGCAAGCATGTCCTCTCTGCCTTGCAGGAGGACCTTCCTGGTAGCATCATACGCGCCGGCTTGCTTCTTGTAGAAGCTTTCTAGGGCATCCTGCTGGTTGCCCTTCTTGTCGCCATTGTGCGGCTTGATGAAGCAGGAGTAAAAGAAGAGCAGGAAAGACTTGAAGAGTCCGGGTGCCTCTAGGCTTTCCGCGTCGTTCTTTGAAAGAAGCTTGGAAAAGAGCAGGCCGCTGAGGGCTACTGCACTTAATCCAGCAAAGGTAGTCTTGAGATCAAGGTCGAGGGGCAAAATGTTACCACCAAGAGAAGCCATGGTATTCTCTCATTGCTCGAGGCTAAGAGAAGATTGCGTTGAAGCGATTTCGAGACTCTTGGCAAGTTGAATTGTTAAAGAAAGCGTATACGTTGAAGAAGCAAAAAGCAGCATCTAACAAATCGCAAAAGGACAGCAGCGCTATATAGACTTCTACACAAAACGGCTGCGTAATATTTCGATGGTCACTCGACCGAACATGTTGTATGGTGTACATTGGATAGCGTTGAACAATACAGCGGAGGGTGAAGTAGTATCTACGTGAGTCGCTCTGGAAGCGTGCAACGAAACGCTGGTACCATAACCGCAGTGTTCAGGAGAAGATCGTGGTTGAGGCCTAGGACCCTGAAAGAGGGAGAACCCCACCATGAGCTTCTCAATTGAGCCAACCCCGCCAGCTCGTTGTCGAGCTCCTAGCGCGGCCGCGTGGGTGAGGTAAAACACGGCTTGTCCATGCCAGCGCCTGTGGACCAAGTCGTGTCGACCAATGGCCAGAGCACATGGGCAAACCATCTGGGCATGAGCCTCTGGTGCTCGTAGAATGGAATTCGCTAGAGCTAACACGCCTGCGCCAATCCTCTGTTAGTTTACTGGCACGGGAGGTTGCGAGACATATCAGTCCTTCTGCTTCCGCTCCCATGGGGTGTTGGGTCTTTGATGCGTGGGGACAATGACATCGCCTTTACCTTGCACTCCCATGCATTGCCTGTGACGAAGGCTTCAGTGTTCATATCAGCGAATATATCACCTATAAGCCAACTGCTTGAGAATTCAGCTAATTAGCAGTGATTTCAACCCTGTTCAAAGTTCGAGCAAGTTGATTTTCATGACGAATTTATGGAGTAGAGTCAAGTGAGTGATTACTCTGTGAGTACCATCTCACAATCTGGATGATTTCTTTCAGTGGGCAAGGCTCCTGCGAATGAATGCTAGTTTTCCAGATTGTCTTTAAAGCCACTCAACCGATGGACGACAGATCGTCCGTTCGAACCAAACTAGGAAACTACTTGTTGCCATGCATAAATCGGAACGTAGTGTTTCGGTATGTGCAGACCACAGATTGTCTGGGGCTGGGTGAGTACCATACGATGCCAATGAGAGAAGCGCCCCAGAGCACATGGCTCCATCGACCGCCACTCAGGAGCTCATAGACATCTTCATCCCGCGAGAATCCCTAATCTCTTGTGGAGCTTCATGCTACCTTGATGATCATCCAAAGAGTTTTGAGAGAGGGGTTTTAAGTTCCGCTCTTGGGCACTACCGACTCAACCAGACGTGATAGCCGGTTTTTCTTAAGCCATCTGCGAACGCGTAGCCACGCCGGCCATTGGTGACTTATTTTTGCACTCGCAAGAAGCGCTTGATGTTCCTCATATCGATGTGTGGCAACCCTGCCATGGGCCTCAGTTCCGTCTGCTCCGTCGCTCTTAACCCGCGTCTTTGTCAGCCTATGGGGAGGTCTCTGGCCGAAATATGACCGCCTGTGGCAGTACTTCCAATGTTGTTATCCGCGACCAAATAATCCAAAAGTGTGAGGAGAAGCTTTGATGGTTTTTCTTGACAAAAAGATTGAATAAGCATCAGCAATTAGCAAATTTGCGC